ATATCCAAATCAAACCTCCCCTGGCACAGCTAGAGGCTGTTTCCTCTCATCCTGTCCCTTGTTCCCTGGGAGCAGAGCCTGACCCCACCTGGATTCACCCTCCTGTCAGGGACTTGTAGACAGCACTAAAATCCCCTACGAGAGAGAGGAAAGAGTTTGAAAGTCATTAATTTAGTAATTGGAGTCTGTATTAAGATTATTAAAACCTCTGCTGTATAATTCAAGCAGAAATAAAGGGTCAGCCCATTCCCTTTCCAATAAACACCAGACTGTGCTTCTGAAAATGGGGAAAAAACACACTAAAATAACTTTAAACTTGCATCCAAATCCCAATTCTCCAGCTGAACCCGGGTCTTTGCACAGCGCAATCCCACCTGGATCGGGAACACCTCAAACAGAGATGGGAATGTTGGTTTAGGAACAGATTGGAAAATTGAAGCTAATTAAGGCTGTGGCCCCTCCAGTGTTAAACACCAATTTGTGCCATTCCCAGTGAGACATCCAGAGACAAAGCAACTAAGCATCTAGAAATGACATTTTATTTTGTGAAGAACACTTGAAAAACAAAGATGAAAGCTTTTCCAGGCTTTGCAATATAACCATCATAACCCACAGAGTCACAAAGACTCCATTTTCCAAAGGGGTTCCCTCTCCCTAGCCCCCCCTCCATTTTCCACAAACTCTCTCCTTGTGGAATGACCCACGAGAGTTTTAAGGGAAAAAAAAAATATGCATTTTTGAGCCAATATGAAAAATAATCCAAGATTGGTTCAGTGCAGGTGCTGCTACATCACACTTGAACAAAGGCACAAAATCCCCTCTTGGAATTCCCACTTCAGTTTCTCCAACCTCGGTGTTCTCTGGGAGAAAGCAGAGTTCTCAAAGGGGGAAGGCTGAGCTCAGTCCAGCTCTCCAGCAAGAGCTGGAGGCACTAAAGGGACAGCAGAGAAGTGCAATGCAGTGGAACCACCTGGAAACACAAAGCTTTCCAATCAGCACCTGGATCCCTCCTGGAAACATGGGCTCCCAAGAACACTTGATTTGGAAGAAGGCGACAAAGTAAGATAGGAAAGCATCAGCTGCCCTCACCTCAGGCAGGAAACCTACCCATGAAACCAGGATTTCAGGATTCAAGTGAATTCAAGGACATTAAAGAGCCCCTTCTGGAGTGATTGGCCCCCAGAAGCACAGAAGCTGAATTTTAAAAGATATGCACAGAAATAAATAAATACTAATCATGTGCTTTGTGGCACTTTTCACTTCTTTTTTGCTGATATCTGAGTGTCAGTTTTTATCTTTCAGCTGTCTGAAATACCAGAATATTCTTAACCTCGAAAAGGTGCAGGAAAAATCCCACCTTAGGCAAAATTTTAGGAGTCTGCTGAACTGGCAGCTCCTGCTACAAAATCTCCTCCACTGTCAAATATGTGCTGCAGTTCCCAAAAGCAACTTGTATTTTGTCCTCTCATTATTATTAATTAGGGATAATCAGGCTTACTTTTGATCTTAATACTTCAGAACCTGATGTCAGACAGAGGCTCCACCTCAGCCCTGTGACACCGAGGGAAACACAGCAAATGTAACAGAGTGTTAGAACAACTGGAGAGATGAGAAATGAGGGAAATTCCTCTGAAAAAAGAGCACAGAAAATAAATACAAGCCCTTTTCCTGAGTACAGTAAAACCCACTTAACACCAAACACTGGATCTGTCAATTCTTTCCAACCGTTTTGTCTGTTAATGAAACTTATGGACAACAAAAAAGTCCTAGGAACTGCAAAATTCAATTTAGTGGCAACTAAAAAAAGCCCTGGAAACTTCAAACTGTAAGAGTACCACACTCTTGTTCCAGGTCACGGAAGCCCTCTGGGTTTTACATCTTGACAGATCCTGAATTTGCCCTTTTTTCAGCCCATTTTGTACACTTTGTTCAGAGATTTCCATGTTTCCTTCATTCCTCAAGTCTGTCTCCAGCTCCTACAGACTTAGGTTTATATATAAAGAGAGAAAAGCAAATTCTGGTACTGGTAGTAACTTCAGTGAGGAGGGATGGGAAAAAAAAAGAAATTCTACAGAGAGATGATTCTGACAGGATTAAAACTCAGTAGTGATGGTGCAACGTGTCAGACCTGCCCCCAAAAAATCCATTTAGGGAGAATACAAAAGAGTCAGCAATATTATTGAATATATTACTCCATTTCCTCCTAGATAAAGTGCATTTACCCAGCCTGAGAGTAGGTACCACGTGGAGAAAGGGACACTAAAGCACTTCCCCAAGAGAGAGCAGAGAAAAGTCAGAGTTATCCTGAATCCTACCCCCAGTTTGGCTCCGGGATTCTTGAGGGCACTTTGGGAAAGCCCCTCTGGCTGCTCCATGTAGGTAGATGGATACAGTGTGTTGTGGTGAGCAAAGCCCCTCCTGTGCTATCTGAAAACCCCCACATTGATGGAAAGAGCCACTTCTGGTTTCCGGGGCTTTGTGGGCAGCTTCTCCTCCAGGACAAAGGGCTCCTGGACACTCCTGGCTTGGCGACTGTGGGAATAAAACAGTCAGGAGGGTGATTAATATCAGTCTTGAGCTTTAGTACCCACAGCAGACGAGCCTGGACTGATCCCCAGGTTCCAGTGAGTTGTAAGAATGAACCACAAGCTCAGCCCAACCAGCTGTGCAAAGCCAACCAGTCAGGAATTCCCTTTTCCTCATCCCCACAGTGTCGCAACAGAAAAAACTGAGGCTCCCTGCAGGAACTTAGAGCCAGGAGCTGGAATTATCCAGGTGCTTCCTGCAGGACCACTGGAATTGTGTGCTCTGAGATCACCCAGCTACCACTGGTCCAAAAAACCATCCAGGTATCAAATTAATTCATAGAATCCCAGACTAGCTGGGGTTGGAAGGGACCTGAAAGCTCATCCAGTCCAACTCCCTGCCATGGGCAGGGACACCTTCCACCATCCCAGGTTGCTCCAAGCCCTGTCCAGCCTGGCCCTGGACACTTCCAGGGGTGGGGCAGCCACAGCTTCTCTGAAAAGCAGCAAAGAACAGTTTTTCTAATGAAAAATAAATGCAAATACTCAGTACCTTTTCTTTTTTTCCAGGGCCAGCTGCCTTTGTTTCTCTTTCCCAATGTCATCTCTCACGGTGCTGAAGTCCTTGGTGTCATCAAGGAGAAGGTTCTGTTGTGGAAAAGGATTTGATCCATGGAAGTCAGAAGCTCAAACTATTTCCCACCTGTTGCTCAGTTGACACAATTCATTTCTGAGAGCATTTCTGCTGACTGCTTTTACACCAATTAACTTCAAGTGAAGTACAATCCTAGAAGGGTTTGGGTTGAAAGGAACCTTAAAAGCTCATCCAGTCCCACCCCCTGCCATGGGCAGGGACACCTTCCACTAGATCAGGTTGCTCCAAGCCCCATCCAACCTTTTACACTTCCAGGGATGGATTTCTTCCACTAGTCTAAGGCAGCAGGATGGGACATCAGATTTTTCTCCTACTGCTTTAAAACCCAGCCAGTATATTCTTTCCTTCTCCTAAACAAGCCTGATTGCTAATTCAGAGCTCAATACACTGCTGGGCAAGTCTTTTTTTACATCATAAGTAGATCTATCCATTTTTTGGAATATGTAATGGGTGTATATCCATAATGGGATTTTTAAAGGGCACTGTCCTTGGATTTTACTCAGAATTAGAAAAAAAAAACCAAACAACCAAACAGTCAATTAAATGAGGGCAAAAAAAAAAGAACCAGGAGAAAAAGGAGCAGCAGCAACACATCTCCCATCCACATGTCCAAACCCACATCCCAGTACTTCCAGAGATGCTGCAGGAAAACCAGGAAGATTAAACCCCAGGTGATTTACCTTCACCCCAATGATGTCTCCATCCCTCAGGTGATAAGGTGCTGACTGCAAACTCTCCTGCTTTTTCCTCCTTTTCCTCTTGGAAATTTGCTGTGTCTGAATAAAAAAAAAAAAAAAAAAATCAAAGCAGAAAATTTTTGGAATTCTCCTGAAATACAATTACAAAGGAACTGCAGCACAAACCAACACATTCCTCTCCAACAGCTGCTGGATTGTGTCACTCCAGCTCTTACCCAGCTGGATATTGGCAGCCACTCGAATCTCTCCGGGAAGTATTTGGCTATTTCGATTTTCTCCACAGGGAGACAGTAGTGAGAGGCCACTCTCTGCCTCAGTGCCCAGGTGGTGCATTCCTTGGAGATGTCCCACACCAAATCCCTGCAGTCAGAGTAGTCCCTTTCTCCTGGAATTCCCATCTGGACTCGCAGCAGCAGCTCATGGGGGCTGCCAGCAGGAGGAGAGAACAGACATTCTTGTGAGTCATGCCTTCAGAATTCCCAGTTTTCACTCCTTCCTGCCTTCCCTCACAAAAAACAAGCTCTAAGTCTTCCTGAATCCCCCTATTTCTAATCCTGCCAGCACTGGAGTTAAAAGCTACTCAGTAAAGGCTCCTCTCAAATGCAGAACTGAAAGAAATAAAGTGTCTTGAGCTCTTACCCCAAATTCTCTTCTTTTTGCAGAGGTTCTATGCAGATTCCCACGCTGGCACCCAACTTGTAGTCACTGGAAACAAAAGAGAGATCCTCTGAAGCCAGGCTGAGAGAGCTGGGGTTGGAGAAGGGAAGGTTCCAGGGAGACCTGAGAGCCCCTTCCAGGGCCTAAAGGGGCTCC